GACGGGCTTTAAAAATTGTAACAATAATAAACTAATACTTATTATATTTTTGTTATTATGTGGAGATTATATTCAATATAAATAAAAATAAAAATTTATTATATAGATAAATGGGGAACGTAATCCAAGTGAAGTCTATGTTAGTTTTCGAGATGCAGTTCTCAGAATTCTTGGAATATCAAGCGGTGAAATTCACGATCAAGATGTACCTCAATCTTTAGAAGCCGAAGTAAATATATAAATTAAAATTTAATAAATTATTTTTTATGAAACATTGCTGAATTGCGTTATATCGTATTTCAGGTCGAAGTAGAAAGGAGAAAGGAATCGTCTACGGATTCAGCATTAGTGAAACAAGTTGTAGGAACTGATAGGCTACCAGCTATATCAATAGATGCACCAAAAACTGCTGATAAACCGCTAAGAAAAGGATTGCCATCATTTATTTGGGTTATAGGTACATTTTATTTTAATACACATAAAAACCTAATGCAAACTGATATCTTTAAATTATAAAAAATAAAATCATTAAATTATTTTATTTGTTTTTTTTATCACTTTTTTCATCAACTGTAAAAGAAAAAAATGGCTTATTTATACTTTATGATATTTTGTATAATTGTAACACTTTATATATTAGGTGGACCAGGGAGTAATAAGGCGGCTCTTTGCGCTCAAGCTGTTCGTAGTACGCCAGGTTGGCTGCACATAAGTATTGGAGAATTTTTCAGAACGATGGCATCGTCTAATATGATTGTAAATGATGCAATTGTTTCGGGCGAAATGGTCCCTTACGATATCGTAATGCAACTTGTAGAACAGCAGATTCTTTTAAATCGAGATTCGGACGGTATCGTCATCGATGGATATCCGAGAGACTTGAATCAAGTGAAGAAATTTGAAACCAAGGTAAGTAATATTGTTGCATTGCATTATACACTCATTCATTTTTTATGTCTTCGAATAATGATAACTTTAGCAAAAATTCATGGTTGAACTTTCGAAAAGATGAAACCCTCGATTTTGTTGTTGATTGATACACTGTTGTATTTTAGTGTGTTAATTACAAATATAATCATCGAAATTATCGACAAGATCATTTTCATGATCATGTTTATGATCAGAACATCAAAATACTGTAGTATATCGATAACAAAATCGAAGGTTTCATCCTTTCAAAAGTGTATATCCACAACTTTCTGTTCAATATGTTGCTCAATGTTAATAAATTATCATAATTAATTACATTATATTATTTATTAATAGTTTGGACAGAAACCACCACTAGTGCTACTTGACTGCTCTAAATTACAACTCGGGAGAGGAAGACTGGACGACAGTGTTTCAGCATTTAGAAAAAGACTAGAACTTTTTCGTGAAGTGTCTCTTCCCATGTTGAAAACGTTGGACAGCGATAATCGGTTAACAATTGTACGTAATAAATAACTGAGTTATGATAAAACATGCTATATTATTGAAATAAATTTTGTCATATTAATATCTAGACAAAGCAGATAAGCGCGTATAAACAAATGCACTTCTTATTAATAAACAAACACACTTATAAAACGCGTAATGCAATAATATGAACACTGTGAATATGAATAAATCCAAATGTAAAACAACAAATATACACTATGCATCAAAATTAGGAGATTAATTTACGAGGGTAGCCTGTTAGGAGGCCAAAAAAGAAATTATTTTTGCAATTTTTTTTAGAAGGAATAATAATGTTTGTCATTTTAAAACTTTCTGCATGTTTTAAAATAACCATTGAAAAATATAATTAAATTTTGTTATATACAAAAAAGAATTATGTTAATGAAAAAAAATTAACATTTAATTTTATGTCTCGCCATCGACGTTCTCATTTGATATGCATTCTCAGGACTTTAATTTTTGCCTTACACAAAAAAGTAAGAAATATTTTTAATTTTCATATATATATATATATATATGATATATAT